CAGTCGGTATGGATCTGAGCTCAAAGCTCCTTATTTTAACTCAATCTCCAGCCCCTCATCGACACGTACCCCACCTATAAAAGACCACCCGCCCCCAAACAGGGCCTTATCTTGCTGTAATTTCCCATTAAATGCAGCCCGACTGACAGACTCTGCTGGCAGCTCAAACACGCCCCGTCTGTTACCCAGGACGATATAAACACTGGTGGGCTTCCTCACTGAAGGAAAAGCCGGCATACAGGGTGGTTTAAAGACACTAACTGCTCACGTGGGCCAACCCACACAAGCACTCAAAGCCTCGGAGGGATTTTAGGGCGAGTGTGAAATGTCACAGAAAGTCTCCAAAACTGCGCTTCACCGCCCGAGGACCTGCGGACGACGAAGGGCAGCGTCGTTTTGGGGTGAGGCAGAGGCGGGGGGGGGGGGGGGGGAGAGGGGGGGGGGGGGGGTCCTGAACGTCCCAAAGACGCCCCCGGGAAACGTGACTCACGGACCTCATACAGCAAAGCCAATATAATCTCCAGTCATTAATGATTTAAAGACTGAGAGGTGTTTAAATTAATTGAAGTCTCCTGAGCACAGGGCTACACTTGTTAAAGCTAATGGAAATGAGTTTATCCCTTTTAGGAGACTGTAAGATGGGGGGGGGGGTGATGTGAGGTGGGGAACTTGTCGTTCTCGACGTTCTCCTGATGCCAATAATATTAGAAAACAGAGGAACCTCCGTCTCTCTCTGCTCCTCAGTGTCCAGGCTATATCCGGACTCCAGTCCTCTTAAACCCTGTGAATACACCCCCCCCCCCCCCATTTGCTGAGCTGCCACATGCCCTCATAACACCCCAAAGAACCCACGGCCCCACCCACCAGGAGGACCCTCTCTCTGCCCTGATAGAAACCAACCTTAAGGAGAGACCTTGACGTGTATCTCCATGTGATGAAAATCCAACGTGGTGGAGACGACGTTATGGGATGGATGGATGGATGGATGGATGGATGGATGGAAAACTGCCACTGTCAAGACCCCAGAAAGGACCAGAGGTGGGGATGTCATCCATCGATCACCCATCCCCCCCCCCACCCACCCACCCCCAACTACTGAATTACAGGCAGATATATAACATCAAAGGAGTTTATCACAGGAAACAAGGAGCAGCAGGCTGGGCATGTAAAACACGCTAGCAGGTCCAGCTACGCGGGCAAAACCAGGGAGACCTTTAAAGGTCCGAATCGATGGGCGTGAGGAAACAGATTACAGGGGAGGTATTAAGGCGGGGGATTGGGGGGGGGGGGAGCCACACTGTTTTTCCTTTGATGAGAGAAAAAAAAGAAAATCAATACTTTAATCTTTAATTTATATGTCAAAGATAAATTAAATTCACTGCGCACAATTTATTCAGCCTGCATGAATGATTTTATCATAATGTTGTCCTGACTGGTATCACACTAATTTTGACATGCTTTTGATAAGAATGCACATTTGTTACCATAGAAAAATGCTCTTTTAATTATGCCTGTTTCCCCCATACACAAATCAATTAATAACGGAGGCAGAGTCTGAGATTAATTCAGCCATCTCAGGGACACAGACCAGTCTGAGCTGAGCAGGGCCTGGGGCAGGACTGCCCCCAGCGGATAAGGGTGCGGTTCAAGTCCTGGGGGGGGGGGCAGGGTGTCTGACTGGTCACTGAGGTAAATAAACTGTAATGTCACATGTAAAGCCAAAAATCTGCATAACAGGCACTAAGAGCTCTCGCCAGAATTAAACACTGCATCGAGAAAATCCCTGGCGTCTGCGGCTTTTCTGCTTCTAAGGGGGAAATAATCCAAAGAAGTGACTTTTTATTTAAAAAAAAAAAAAAACTAAACGAAAAGCTCATAATTTCTTATCTGGGGAATGAAGGAGACTCATGAATCTGAGCGAAGATGAAGAGAATGAGATCGCAGACTTTTAGAGAAGGCGGTACGGGAGACGGGGAGACGGATGGAGGAGAGCGGGGGAGTCGGAGACGCGGAAATTAAAGCGGCAATGAAAGCAGAGCTGGGGTGCGACGCAGACGGGTCGGGACGATCGAGATCTTACGTCTGGTCATATGAATGTCTTCATGCGTGTAGCCCATCCATCCATCCATCCATCCATCCATCCATCCATCCCAGAGCCCTGGAGCCCATCCCAGACAAGTCCGAGGTCAGTGGTAGACTTAAACCAGCCATTTGGGGGGGGGCCCATGTTGGCTACAAATAGTCACTACACTAGGGGGGGTGGGAGTGGAATGTCTGAACTAGCACTAGCAAACCAGCCCCAGGTTGGGGGACACATTGGGTGGGATGTCAATCTACTACAGGGCACATATAACAGCACAGGATCTTTAGTGCTCATGAGACCATCTCACAAACCAATACCTTTTCAGAAAAGTGCAGACCCAGTATTCAGGCCCGCCGTTTTAAACACTGGTAATGATCCCGCATCCGTATCCATTAGCTACCACTTGCGACTTAAAGATGAATAACTGTACAAAAAAAAAAACCAAAACACACACAAAAGTGCAGTTCTGCCTTTACTCTCTGCTTATTTTCTGTTTCGGAAACTTAAAATAGCGACATGAGTATCATGAATATCAATGCCGATCTTCACAAGTGCGACATGTTGCTTATCAGAGACTTATGAGACTTATGGGTTTTTCCTGCGATGAATTACCCCTCGTTAAACGGCAGTGGATACAAGCAATTATTAATATCTATGGGTAGCTTGCAGCATTGTTTATGGAGCTACCAGGATGAATGAGGAGACGTCTAACAGTCATCGACTGATATTTAAAGATGTGAAAAACAAATCAGACCCAACTATATACTCCATGTGTACATGTAGAGACGCACAACCTCTGTCAGGATTTATGGACACTGATTTCAGTTGCGGGGGGGGGGTTCTGCCATCCTAATTCCCATTACCACAAAGACCACTTTCCTCCATTAAGGGGGTCTCCCTCCACAAAGAGGTGGTCTCCCTATGCATTTGGACTTTCAGAAGCAAAGCCGGACATTCAGGAAAACATCCAAGGTCACAGGCCTCAGATGTCTATGCCGCGTTCCACTTGGCCTCGGAACTCTGAAAATCTGAGTTCCAAGTCAGAAAAATCGACTTGCACTCCCCCCAGACTCTGAGTTCCGACTCCGTCGGAGGAACCTCTGCAGGCCAGACCTCAGAATTCAAGATGGCTGCACCCTTCATAGACAGAAGGAAGTGAGAGCTGTAGTTATATATTTAAGTAGTACTTACATCTTTACGTTTTGTTAAATCGGCTGTATACACACAGTACTGTCCGACCGCTATCTGTGGACTTGTTGTACGTAGTCTTTGCATGTGCAAAATACAATGAACCTGGCTAGGACTGGTACTGCTAAATGGCTTTCCGACTTCTTCTACTGGAACGCAGTTAACTCAGCTGTGACATCCTTCCCAGCTCCGACTTCCGACTTACGGGGCAACTGGAACGCAGCATTAGAAGCGGTTATCTTCTCAGTGCAGGTGAAGCCATCACGCATCTACTCGGTTATTAACTGATGGGAGATGGAAAGCCCAGGTGGGCGGGGTTTGGAGCTTACTGCCAATCATTGACTATTCGGCCTTAATTAATAAGCCTTTGTGGGCGGACACTAAGCAGGGATTGGACAGAATTTAGAGCTTACTGTGAATAACCAGGCATTCGGCCTAGACTTCATAATACCTTTATTAGCCATCGTGGGCGCACATTAAGCTGTGATTGGATGCCGCTCAGTGATCACATGTGCTTTGGGCTTAAGGAAATGATGTTCTAGGACAACTTTAGCTAACACCAAAAGTTATCAGATGAGCATGAATATAAACTTTCCCTACTTAGAGAAATGCAGAAAGCTGACTATATGATGTTCAATCGCACAAATGTTAGGAACCAGAGGTTGCAAAATTTCTGAAGGATAAGTGGGGAAAACAAAAACAGAAAAAAAATGGGAAAAAGCAGAACTGATTAACAGTCTTCTGAGCCCACAAACTCTCCACAGTGAACACTGAGCGAAAAGAGGCATCCGTCACTTTAAATATTGACATTACGCGTCAATCAAAATGGGGCAGCTCCAGCTTTTTAAAAGTGACCATGAGTCAATCCAAACTAAATCATGTACAAATATTCATCCACTCTGTGTCAACAAATCGGGAAATGTAACTGGTTAGCACCGTGACTGGATTTTTAAACAGGAGGGGCCTGGAAATTACAGGAGCTTTTTTGAAAACGGGGCTTTTGTCCATGTTAGTTGACGTGGGGGTGTAATATATGAATATACAGCCCCAAATGAACACTGCCAAACCATCACTATCCCAATGTGCTAGGGGGCCTCTGGTTCATTATATGGGGGTGCAGAAGGTGTCATTTCTTCCCAGAAAAGGGGGGAGGTGGCAGGGTAAACATCCCAATACAGACTGAACTCATCCATGTACCCTTCAGTCATAGGATCGAAGGCAAATTAACAACTCCATTCCCTCATCCTCTAACGAGCAGAAAAATTCATTAGTAATACAGACGGTAAACATCCTTCAATGTGAGACATGTCAGGGAGGTCTAATTAAAGTTTAATTAAGTATTTAGTCATAAAGCCTCGTTTTAACCATGTGGTGTTTGGCTGGACTGCGTGTCGACCTCACCATTCATCGATGGATAGGAGGGAACAAAAGCGGCATGTGAAGAGGTGTCAATGTGGGGGCGGGGCTACGTGTGGGGGTGTGGCCAAAAGGGGTGTGGCTACATCAGGGGCAGAGCTACTCGTGGGGGCGTGGCCACAAAGGGGTGTGGTTACACTAGGGGAGAGCTACTCATGGGGGTGTAGCTACACTAGGGCAGAGCTACTCATGGGGGTGTGGCTACACTAGGGCAGAGCTACTCGTGGGGGTGTGGCCATAAAGGGGTGTGGCCATATCAGGGGATGAGGCCACACAAGTGGGCAGATTCAGAGGGTGGGGTGGGGGGTGGTACCTTTATCGCTGAAATCATCAACCAGGATGATCTCGGCCACGAGCTCCGGGGGGGAGCGGTTCAGCACGCTGTGCACGGTGCGGAGCAGCGAGGACCAGCCCTCGTTGTGGAACGGGATGATGACGCTGGTGTTGGGAAGCTTCTCCGCATACAGCTTCCGCTTGCAGCTGCGACACAAGGAGACCGTCGCCTTAGCAACACGAAGGGTCGACCCCAACAGCCATTTCGATCGCTATTCACTCCCCATCTTAATGCTATGCTGGCTCATCAACATACAACAATGTTCCGAAGTCTTTGATCATTTTAGGGATGTTGACTGAAATGATAACATCATTTGCAGATTTAATGGGGGTTGGGACAGAGTGATGTCACGCATGGGTTATCGGAATGGTGACTAACTCGTCTGCTGTGGGGGTGGTTACTAACCCGACAAACTAGTAGGATGCAATGAGACTTTTCAGTTTCACAGGAAAGACTGGATGGATTAAAATGGGCAGAGCCTCAATCCCCTGGAGATACAAGGAACTCTTCTGTTACTCTACCCAACTGTGCCTGTCAATCCTGCTATCAGTCTGTGTCCGACGCCTTTATTTTTCTTTTACTATAAATCCAATTTCTATTCAATTCACATTTCACAGTCCTGATGTTCTTGTTATGACTTTCACCCAGGACTGACTGATTTCATGCCAGGAAACACTGGCAGGGTACACACTAAGGGAGGGGGGGCTAGGGGAGGGGTTCAGGAGTGGTCTGTGCTTTAGGAAGAACCAGAATATGACCGGGTCTCTGCCAGGGGCCAGAACCAGGAAAGGCAGTGCTGGGGGGGGCACTATGAAAAGAGATGTCCCTGAATCTGGGGGGCAAGAATTGAGGGTTGCATGTGACAACGAGTCAGGGCACTGGGTCTGTGATCGGAATGCTGTGGGTTCCAATACCAGGGTCGGCAGAGTGACTTCACCGCAGGGCTCCTGAGCGAAGCCCCTAACCCCTAATTGCACCAGGGACTGGTTGACCCCGCCATCTCAAAGAAGTGCGTCTCTTTGGATAAGAGCTAAATAAGATGTAGATATACTGCCCAGTCATAGGACTGCAGTCACACATGAATTAAATGTGCGCACATACACAAGCATATACCGGCGAATCAGCCTTCCTCTCTTTACTGGAACAGTCGGCATTCATCGGTTTTGACTTAGAGGAAAAGCTTATCAACATTTCTTGAGTTTGTGCAAAATTACCAAACGACAAATATTTCAGAATCAATGCTACCTGCACCATTACTTGCGAAATGTAATTAAAATCATTCGAATTTTAATGAAGATGGAACAAAAAAAGCAATTTTTTAAAATTCATGCACTGAAAAGTAAACAGATGGGAAGAAATTATTAGCGAACTACTAGTTGGAGTGTTTTTTCCAGGGCTGGTAGCATTACATTCATATCGTGTGGGGGCAGTTATTACATGCATTACAGCTATATCATGCGCATGTTTAATAATAATCGATACTTTATTGTCTTTACACCTCCCTCAACTTGCTCTTTGCAGAGTAAGTTGGCCGCGAAGGGCAGCCACCCGTACGGTTAAGGGTCTAAGCTCAAGGAGCTGCAGGCTGAGGTTTGAACCGACGACCTTCTGATTACAGGCACACGGGCTTAGCCCACTGAGCCACACGCTGCCCCCTTTGTCTTTGGGGGCAGTTCAGGATGGGGGGGGGG